GTTAACAGTGGTTGAACCTTTTAGGTCATTATCTCAGCGGTGTTCAGTCATTTCACCTGAAAGGATTGTTTAAATCATAGGAACAAGACTTAAATGATTAGTACCCGCTGACATAAAAGTGCCTTTAAAGTAGTTTAATGTGTCCTTGAAGTTATGGTCATTAAAAGTTCATGTCTTAGACCAATGTTAAAAATGTGTTCAAAAATAAAGGTCGCCCAGTTTAGATGTCTTTGTAGTTTAATATCAGTGAACACAGGATAATCTTTAGGTTCAGTTTAGCGTTTAAGACTTTAACTCAGCTAAAGGATTAGCTAAGTCGCCTACTAATGTGACTATCGAATATTAGCCTAAGAATCGTCAAAGGCTAAAAGATATTTATGATATTTGGGTTTCGTTAAGAGATCCGGAACTATAAGTTGCCTCGTTCCCCAACGGTTAACAGGTTTTAAGTCATTATCTCAGCGGTGTTCAGTCATTTCACCTGAAAGGATTGTTTAAATCATAGGAACAAGACTTAAATGATTAGTACCCGCTGACATAAAAGTGCCTTTAAAGTAGTTTAATGTGTCCTTGAAGTTATGGTCATTAAAAGTTCATGTCTTAGACCAATGTTAAAAATGTGTTCAAAAATAAAGGTCGCCCAGAGGTCAAAGGTCAGCAATAGCCTAAAATGAGCCCAAAAAAAGTTAAAATATAACCCAAATTCTACAGTTCACCGAAAGAAAATAAACCAAAAATGTGACTATCGAATATTAGCCTAAGAATCGTCAAAGGCTAAAAGATATTTATGATATTTGGGTTTCGTTAAGAAATCCGAATACCGTATTTTCCGGTCTATAAGTTGCGCCAGAGTATATGTTGCACCAGTGCCCTCTAGCGGCTGTCGATAATTTTCACCTGAGTGTAAGTCGCAAACCCAGCCAAACAATGAAAAAAAGTGCGACTTATAGTCTGGAAAATATGGTAAATATTGCCCATTATACCCGAGCCTAAAACTGGAAAACTTATTCCATGGTTTCACCTCAGTTTGAGTGTTCAAATACTGGAAGGCTATGAGGTAAAAAAGTGCGACTTATAGTCCGAAAATTGTGCTAAATATTGCCTATAATACCTGAGCCTAAAATTGGAAAACCCATTCCATGGTTTCACCCCAGAATGAGTGTTCAAATACTAGAAGGTCAAAGGTCAGCAATAGCCTAAAATGAGGCCAAAAAAGTTGTTGACCAAAAGAAAACGAAAGAAATAAACTGAAAGTTTGAAAGAAAAAAAAACATATTCAAGAAAACCCTGAAGGATATTCACAGACATTTTTGACCAATCAGCGGAGAGGACCAGGAACCTGTTTGTTGTGTGTGTGTTAGGCAGTAGTACTGGAGTGTTTGTGTGTGGAGGTGAATGGATACAGGTGTCTTTTTCCCCCCTTGATGACGCACAACAGGACCCTAGTGAAATGAGCTGAAGATTGCGAGTGTGTACATGTATATGTATGTGTTTGTAACAAGATGGTCTCGGGGGGCCAGGAGGGGGGCGGTCCACAGGCTGACTTTTTATCACGCAACACTGTTGTTTGTCTAAAAACATTTGTCTAAAAATTACACGTAAACACATCGGAACTGTGATCAGAGAGTGAGTCGAGTGGGTTTTACCTCCGAAAAGATTATTAACCAAAAGTCCTCCCTGTCTCTAAGGGACATGACCCTAATGTCTCCTTTTCACCCCCGACCCCACCCCCTCCTAATTCCTGCAGGTCCTCTGGTGACCGTACGGTTGCTACGACGCTGGTCACACACAGGAAGAGCAATGCATGAAGGGAGAAAAAGGAACATTCCGCTTACATGTTGTTCTGGTAGCTTCTGTTTTCTCCGCTCAAATCTATTCCCTGGCTGTTGGGAGTAATTACTGAAGCATCTCATCTCCTCAGATGTCTTTGTTTCGGTCTTCGGTCTCAGATGATGCATTTCTCCAATTATCCTGTGTACTTTCATGAAACTGCTGCTGTGGCAGTTAGCATGTTAGCACAAATATAGCAAAGACTACCACGTAGCTCGCACATTCATTAACGGAGTGATCCCCAACTCTTTTTTTGTACCAAAGATCGGTCGCCCGGTATCAGCCGTTACTGTGCACCAAATGACCTACGGACCGCCACCGGTCCGCAGACCGGGGGTTGGGAACCCGTGCATTAAAGAGCTGTGTCTAAACGCTCCAGATTGTTGAGGAAATGATTTTCTTCCATTTTGATGGGATTCAAAGTGACAGCAGGAAGGACTGGAAACAAACTATTGTATTTAAACTTTTGTGTTGTTTTGTTTGAGTTAACACGGAAAATGAAGATATTCAGTCATCTGTCTGCTTTTTATAGAACAAAAGCTTCGGTGGACCAGCAACAAATGCAAAAACAACAGGGAAATAAAACTCACATGAGGAAATAAGGAGTCTGCCTAATTGGTTTAGTCGATAAGTCAATTAGCCGTTCATCCGTTCACTGGTTCGTCCACTCGCTCCCTTTTTCTTTGTTTACAGAGAGGAAATAGAACATCTGGCCAAAGATGGAAATTAGAACGAGGATCGATAGATTCTGGGAACAGAGTTGCTTAAGCTGTTGTAACTGAACTGAGAGGAAGGTGAGGGGAAAACTGGCAGCAGAGAAACACATTAACGACCACAGAGGCTGTTCACGTCAAGGGCTGGAAGAACGGGCAACAAAGACGACGTGATGATTTAGTTTTTATTTTTATTTTTCTTCATTTTCTAAGCTGGTGATTAAATCCTGATGTTCTTGGCAGATTTACAGTTTCACACTTAGGTTGTTGTGTGGTGAGCTGCAGGAGTGGGTCTACGAGAGAATTCATACATGAGCCTGGAAATGAAATCATGAAATCTGAGACAGAACAAGGTCGGCAAAATTAATACGTTATTAACAAGGAGGAAGCAAGGTAGAGAGAGGGAGAGGCAGAGAGAGAGAGAGAGTGAGAGTCCTACAGAAGGAGGAGGAGAAAGGGGCGGGGTTCTGCACTATCTCCAGCCTATCGCCTTCACAGAGGGTGGAGAGGGAAGGGGAGCAGACAGGAAGGAGGGAGGAGAGCAGCAGCAGCTGCAGACAGAGAGAGAAAAGGCGAGAGTATGTTAGAAGAGGAGTGAGAGGTGGGAATGTTGAGGTAGACACAGAGATGCAGTGAAAGTCCATCTGTCAGTGCTGCAGATCTCCGTCCTCTCTTCAGGATCAGTGACGTTCTGTGGAGCTGAGATGTTCTGAGCCACAGGACGATGAGGGAATGAAGGCGCGAGTTCACCTTGAGCAGGAGTCCAACTGTGCCGCTCTGGACCTTTGGGATTACCACCGGTGCTCGTTGATCCTTCCAGAAGGAACAACCACAGATTTGAGAAACCTGATCGTAGACCACAGCGGCCTCTGAAGATCCAACCTTCTGAGGGTCAATAACAAACCCGGTACCAGACCTAAGAGAGGTTTTTGGTTTGACAGAAACTTTAAAACCCACACGGTGCCAAAACTGTGGCACATACAGCTGATCCTGGAGCCTCAAAGAGCCACAACCAAGCAGGTCCTTGATTCAAGGAACCCTGGAGGCAGCCTGACCTTGGACCAGCTATCACCAGAACCCCCGCGGACCCCAGAGGAGACGTCCACCATGTCTCAAACCGGGGGAAGGTTCCACAACAAAAAGGCTGGCATCCGGGCTGCTGTGATCCTGATTGGACTCCTTCACAAGTCCCGCAAGGCCAAGGAGAAGGAACGGGAGAAGGAACGGGAGAAGGAACGGGAGAAGGAGGAGAGCGAAGGGTGGGTGAAGTTTGTCCCATCATGTCGTCTGATGACGAGGGCAGGTCAGGCTTTTATGGTGTGGTTCAGAGGCCGGCAGACTGTCTGCAGTGCAGGGATGAGCCGTGATTGTGGAGAAATCTCATAAAGTTGTTTTTATTGCCGGGACACGTGGATGATTCGTGGTTTGGCCACTTTGCGACAGCTGTTTCCTACAGATCTTTTTATGAGTACGGTCGCCTGTGTGGCGGTGTGTTTTGTTGACCGCTCATGTGTGTATCTGGGTCAGTGGAAATGACGGATGGGAATGAGAAAGGCAGGTAGTGAGCAGAGGTGGAAAATTGAGGTGTGCACTAAGTGCTTTTGAGCAAAGACGTATTGATAGAAAAGTGGGCTGAATCACAGCTATGACACTTTCACTTCTTCTGGGAAAAAAGGGACAAGGTGTGAGAGGGTGAGAGAGAGAGGGAGGAGAGAGAGAGTGAGTTCAAATCTAGTTCCAAGTTTCTAGTCATCTGTTCATGATATTATTGTAGCAGGTTCTACAGCATACGGGTCTAGAATAGAGTAGAACAGAATAGAATATTGTTTTGTCCTTGTATTAAAATAGGACATGGAAATTTGATTATTTGTTTATTTAAAGTCTGACGAACATGCAGATTTAGAACAGATGAAACACAAAGACCATAATATGACAGGAGATATTTTTCAGTTTTTCTCACTCTTTGTGTTTTAATGTCTTTGTGTCTTTGTCTGACTCTGGTTTTAAGCTAAGTAAAAACTGTTTACTTCCTTCTTGAATGCACACCTGCCCCAGGCAGGAGTTCTAACTGCCCTACTCTCCAAGAAAACAAGTTTGGAGAGAGAAAAAAACAAACTGTCCCAGTGAAGTCTGAGCTTTTATGTGAGGGTTTAAGGCCTCTCAGAGGGCCATTACTTTGAATTATGAGCCTGCTTTTCCATCCTAGGTTTAATCCAGGTAACATTACACGGCAGTATCCTTAATGCTGATGTGGAATAAAAAGAAAAGACAGCTGCAGCTGCAGCAACTTATCTAGAAACAGACCACTTATTAAACTGATGAGATTAAACGTCACTCAACTTGGATGGAATTGTGTACAAAAATGTATTACAATTACTAAATATAAACATCCTCTTAGGCCAGCAGGGGGTGCTTTCAGAAACCCTGGTTCACAGGTTTATCGCGGTGCTTAACTCTGAATTCTGGACTTAGTCTGAACTAAGTCATTTTTAACATACGTCACCAGTTTCATAATCTCAACAAACATTCTTGTCAAAAATATGTTAAAAAGTCAAATTTAAAAATGCATTTCACAACACAAAGCAAATTTAATTTAAGTCAGCACAAAGTCACAAATTGAAAAAAATTTAAGTCAGCACAAAGTCACAAATTCACAAATCATCACAGTTTATCGATTCATCATGACTCAAGTGAGTTAAACCTTAAGTTTCTTGGGTTTTAACAGCAGTGCTGCGTGCTAACTGTACTTATAATTAGTCAAAATCCAACCCGTCCTATTCCCACCGATAAACATTTCCCAAAAAAAAAAGAGAAAATACAAATTGAGGGCGGCATCTGTGCTAATTTAAACTAACCTGTGGATTCCACAATTTACAATATGCATGTTCACCTACAGGGGGCACTGTAGCAAAAATCAACAACAATTCCCTGCACAGGTCTTCAGAGTTTAACCTAAACAGCCTTCAGGAATGTCTGTTTGTTTACAGATGACACTGCAGTGTAAATACTTCATCTGCGCTAGCTTCCTGCTCGGGGAGTTTCCCTGCACCTCGTACTGTAGCTCGATCTTCTTACAGTTATCACTGTACCGGAGGTGTGTAGCGCAGTCAGCGAGACCCCTGGGAATATAACCACACGGTAACACACAGTGCTGAGAGTTGGCAAAGACCAGATGGTCCACACCATCGCCGTCTCAGCCCGCTCTGCGAGATAAACCTGTTTTGGCAGAGCGTTAGCCGCCCTCCGAGTCACCTCACCCAGTAAACTAAACAGAAGGTCACGGAGCGGCTCGGTGTAGTCACTGTTGTTGCGGAGAATGTTACACACACTGTACGGAGTGTGTGTGCGAGGGTGACACACAGACACAGGGATTCTAAGCTGGTGTGTTTCAATAGCCTCCACCAAAATAGAGCGCATGGAAATAGACTGGAACTTACTTTGCAAATGCTGATAAGTTTATGTGAGCTGTTTTTGTATGGAGGGGCTGAGGAGATGGGGAGGGAGGAGAGGGGGAGGGGGTGAAGGGAAATGTGTCCCTGCATTCTGTATAAACTATACTGTCAGACGGTGTCAAATTAAACCACGGAGACAGAGTTGGATTTAGTGCTGTACGTAGAAAAAAACAAATCAGGAAATCACTGCCCATGTCCTGAACATCTTTATGGTAGGGTTTGTTTTCACTGTGTCATAAACAATGACTTAACGATTCCGTCATTTTTTTATTTTTTTTATTTTATCTTAATGCTGTTATTCACGTGGCGTTGCTTTATAACATGAGGTTAATATAATCCTGATAAAACAGTGCGGTTCAGAAGGACGCTGCGAATGCATCGCCACGCGTTTCCTCGACGTGTTTGTTTCACGTTGTTCGCCTCCTGTAATATTGTTGTCGGTGATCCATGGTTTCACCTCATGTCAAGTGAAATCAAAAGACACAATTTAGTGCTGGACAGAAATTGCTCCAGGCGCAACGCAACCGTTCTCTACCCACTCAATTTACATTCACGTCCGAGTGTGTGTGTTCCCTCTGATGTGCAGTGTGTGTTCAGTGTGAGTGGATGTTTATTAAGATTAACTCAGATTTAAGGTGCTAACCAGAGCATTCCAAGCTTGTTTAAAGTTATATTTAAATACAAACGTGTGATTTATTTTTGAAGCAGTAATGGATGAACAAACATGCACTGAGAGAGTGAGAGAGAGAGAGACATTTAGTCTATGTTGCCTCACTCTTCCTTTTATCCCTGTCACTAATGATCTCTGATACAGCCATAATGTGAACATCTGCCTTCCACTTAAACCATCGGATTGAACAGCATGACATCGTCGGCGTATATATATATATATATATAGATGTTAATCATATGTTTCTTAATGCATCAACGTCCTTCACCACTCACCACCGGCTGCAGACCTGCGTTTGTCTCCACTCTATCTAAGTTTAAAACCTTTAGAAACCTTTAGTTTCAACTTTATCAAACCAAACTTTATTTGACAAAAATTATATAATAGTTTAAAGCCACTTAATATATCTATATTAAATATATTTTCTAAACTGTGATGTAGTTCATAACCTTTTGAAGCTTTGGAAAGGTTAAGTCTGAGCTTCATGGTTATCAATGCACCGTAGTCCAAACATCCAAAAGATCCGAGTCTGATGACGCTATTGTCGAAGCTAATGCAATTTCTTGAAAACACATTAAAAAAAAAAAAATCAGAGTCAGATCGTGAACTTCACTCATCTACTAAATCGTTTTGTTTTTTTTTCTTCCTTATAAAAACCTTCTGAGGATAATTGCGTTTGTGAATAGCAACATTTTTACAGAATAAAATATCTCTTCCTTGTTAGCGTTCTGCCACAGGAACTCAACTTTTCTTTTTACTCGGCCTTAAAAAAAAAAAACCTCAGGCAACGTCTTCTAACAGCAGTGAAGTCAAGACTCTCAAGTCAGGTCGACTGAAAAGTAAAAAAAAAAAAAATAGAGGTCTGAAAATTCTTCTGCATCTCTAAGTCTCACATAGTGCAGAGCTACAGGGTCAAATCATCCACCAGTAAAATGTGGTAAAAACACATTATCAAACAGACAGACTGACCTCCAAACAGACAGACTGACTGACCTCCAAACAGACTGACAGACCTCCAAACAGACAGACTGACAGAATGACCTCCAACCAGACTGTTGGATGTGAACGAGGAGATCAGGTCCACGGGAACCTTTAGATGCTAAGGCTAGGCTAACCAGCACTTTGATAAAAAGTACATTTTTTAAAATGTAAAGTCAGACAGGTTAGTAATGGTTCTTTAAAACAGCCTCCTGATTTATTCAGAAAAATGGGGTTTTAAAAAATATTTGAATCATCAATATAAGAAGTATATGACTTTGATCAATTTCCTAATTTGAATTGAACATAATAGGTGTGTCTTGGTGTTGTTAATGGTGTAACCCAAACCAGGACAGGCCAAAATGATGATGACGATGATGATGATAATACACTGTTATTGGCCAATTAAAAATAACTCAGGGAACGTCATCGTCATTATTTCAGTGTCCAACGCTGATGACACTCACTGACTACAATCTAGTAACACTTAATTACACCTGGAGCTATTTCAATAAGACAATAAGACAATAAGGCTGTGATTGGCAGGAACAGTCCTTCATTCTGATCTGAAGTGTCACAGTGAGTATGGACTTGATGTCGTCCTCTGCTGCTGTGAAAAGGGGGCCGGGAAATTCATCTTCTCTGGACTGCATACTGAATACTTGGCCTCCCTGCTGATCCCAACATGAAAATGTTGTTCTTTTTTTTTAGTCCTGTTAGCTTTTAAAAGAGTGAAGTTGCATCACTTTCCTCCTGCGGGAAATAAACTCTTAACTGACTTTTTTTTTTTCTACGACTTTTATGTCTGTTTTATAGACAGTTTATGAGTCCAACGTAACTGACAAATGACACGGAAATTTTTACGCAGAGAACACAGGCTTGTTAAAGTGGCAGCAAACTCACAGCCGTGAGAGTGAGTCACGTCAGCTCAGGGGAACCTGCAGCTCACAGGGACACTGAGAATTTTTTTTTTCTCCCTGCACTGAGACTTTTGTTCCTACCCTGAAGTCATTTTCAGAGTGAGAGAGAGGACGCCTTAACAGCCTGAACATGGTGATTTACATATAGTTGGCCTATTAACCTCATTTTGCACTTGCCCTTTTTTTTATATATACAGTATGTCACAGTTTTCTCAAGTCATTCATTATTTTTCCCGGTA